TTCCTTTAAAAAAACTACTTTATTTAATAAGAGATTTCAGAGAGCTTTCCAACACACACACAATACGAAAAGACTACTGGAAAACAAAAACAAAAAACAACTCTCCTGTGCATCTATGGCTCTGACCTGACAAAAATACAAAACTTCCTCGGTTCTATTGACCTATCATTTGTATTAAATTATCATGAAAAGAGTCGGCTCTCTTACCTTTAAATTTTTAAAAAATGGCATCCACAGTATTCTGCATTTTTGATTGAGGAGAACTATTTCAGAGAAAGAGCTGTTAGTTTAAGATTTGAATAAATAAAAAAGGAAAAAAACAGATTTTTAGGATAAAGTTGATATCCTTCAGAGAAGAAGGGAATTCATAAGGGGGATCAGACTTAGGGTAAAGGGCTAGGGAAAGATTAATAATCCAGTGTAATTAGTAGCATTTGCTTGGACTTTCCAGAAGTGGTTGGAAATGTGGGAGTGTGGCTTGTGGAAGCCAAGGGCGAAGAGGACATGGAGAAAAATCAGCACGGTCCTCACCACTGATGTAGAGATACACAGGGAGGGAGCCTTGGAACTACAGACAAGGTGATACAAGTTCATGGGCGGCCTCCAAAGTGTGATTTTATAATAGTGTTAAAGTTGGGAGTTAAGGGGTGAGGGGTGGTAGTAAGACCCTGGAGGATTGCTGCCATAGATTGAAGTAGGACAGAAGAGGCTTGACACCCGAGGAATTTTCAGGAAGGTTTATTGACTGTAGGGTTCAGAGGTGGCTCTTGTCCAAGAATTCTTCCTCTGAACAAAGATTTTGGAAATTTTTTGAACTTTATACCTAGTGGGAGGAGGGGTTTGGAGGTTTACATAGAAATGATTTTTTTCTTTGAGTTCTCAGAAAGTGATTTTTTTTTTTCCCTTTAAGGCCAGACAGGAGTCTTTCAAGACTTTACCAAGGAAACGGAAATAATATCTTTTGTACAACAAGCATACAGACTGTCACACCTTTTGTGTGCAAACCTGGCATTTACAAGAAAGAGGAACCTATCAGACACAATAACTGCTACAGACATCCTGCTGATACCACAAGAGGAGAAGCTTAATTATGGCAAGTGTCTTTTGGGTGGGGGTACCTGGTCTGCTTCAAGATAAGCGGTAGAGAAGACAGCTAGTAAGGAAACAATCTCAAACTTGAGTGCATCAGTGTTACCTGAGCAGCTTGTTATATACCATAGACTGCTGGGTCCCACCTTGAGTGTCTGCAAGTTGAACATGGAGGTCAAAAATTTGCATTTCTAACATATTCCCAGGACTTATGCTGCTACACTTTGAGTGTTAGTTAACTTAATATCTTTTGTTTAGTTTGACTCACAGTTTTCAGAAGTTGCTTTTAGACCCATGAGTCAGTACATGAAGCAGAGAGCATGTGTTAGAGCAAAGCTGTTCACCTCATGGCAGCAAGGATGGGGCTTGGGAAGGAAATAGGAAGGTCCTAAGGCCTCCCACCAAGCACCACCTCTTAAAGATTCCACCACCTGCCAATAGCATCGCTCTGGGAACAAAACCTCCCAAACACATGGCCCTCTGGGGGACATTCTAGATCCAAACTATGGCACGTTGGAAATCATTGATTTAGATCAGGTTTTCTCAGCCTTGGCACTATTGACATTCTGAGTCAGATAATTATTTTGTGGAGCTGTCCTGTGCTTATAGGATGTTTAGCATTATACCTGTCTTTAATCTATTAAAAATGTTTCTAGGAGTTACCAAATACCCCTTGTGGGTTAAAACTACCACAAGTTGGGAGCCACTGCTTTAGAAAATTCAACACATCCAGAGAAACTGTCTGAGTAGATTGAGTTGCCAAGAGAGTACTTGATCTAGAAAATGAAGATATACATAAAATGATGGAAGAAAGCCCACAGAGTAGGTTTTCCACACTTTTAGAAATTAAATGAGGAGTGTATAAGTGAAGGCTTCATTGTTAGCTTTTAATGAATTAACTCCAGAAAAATCAAGTTGGAACTAACCTCTACTATAATTCCAGATTGCTTTTAGGTTTCTGCATCCTGGAAAAGCACTTAATAATTATCTCCAATTTTATGAATGTCACTTTATCCTCCAAAATGTAGTCTTCCTGGATTGCTGCCTCACTTATGTTTAAGTGTCTTCAATTGACTTCCTTACCTTGAAGTCCGTGCCATTTGATAGACAAAGCAATGTTCTGCACCAGGTAGGAAAGTTTATTCCATAATGAGCAAAGAATTTTTTTTTAGAATAATAATTTTAAAAATATACTGGAACTCAGTGAATTTTTACAAATTTAAATCTTGAAACCACAGACATTCAGACCATTCAACTTTGAATGCTAACATTGATAAAGTCCCAAATCCCCCTCCATTTTTCATTACTTGTCACTCAAATTGTGGCCCAGGACCTGCAGCAGAGGCATCACCTGGGAACTGGTTAGAAACACAGAATCTCAGCCCTGCTCCAAACTCACTGAATCAAAAGCTGTCTTTCAACAAGATTCCAGGTGATTCCCAGGCTTTTTAAAGTTTGAAAAGCAGTGGATGAAGGTCTTGAAACCCACTAGGCCCCATATAGTTTTTTTAGAAGAGCAATTTTGCATTTACTTGTATGACTTTTTAAATATTTTTGTTTTAGGTGGACACAATATCTTTATTTTTTATTTTTATGTGGTGCTGAGGATGTAACCCAGTGCCTCATGCATGCTACCACTGAGCCACAATCCCGCCCATACTTGTACGACTTTGATAAATGTCCACCTTCCTCTGTAGATTGGAACCTCACAGGGGAAGTCTGCCCACTGTGGGATCCTAGAGTCACACAGCCAGTACTCAAAAATCTGTTAAGCAAATCAACAAAGTGGACCCTGTAAACTCATCCTAAGCTTCTTCCCCTGACCCCAGTCTCAGAGGGGCTTCTGCAAAGGTTTACCTTCTTAATGAACATACTCTGAAAACCAGACCTTTCTCAGATCTCCAAGGGATGATTAGGAAAGATCCCTGAGATTAGAAAACATGAAGTTTTAAACTCTTTACTTGAATTATGTATTTATGCAAGATTTGGGTCATCCAGCTATTAGGAGTTCTCTGAGTATTGAGAAGAAAGAAGGGTTTGAATTTATTCTCTATAATTCTTCACAAGGACTTTTATTATTCCATGATTTCATTAATGTTGTTTCTTTATAGTTTTTTTTTCATCAGGAAAGGTAGTTGGAATATGAGTAAAATGTTATAACAGTCACTAGCAAAAGGCTTTTCATTTACAATGCATTTATATAAATATATTAATTATAAATTACCCTGCCTTTCCATAAAAGAATTTGAAGCAAATGTTTACAATGAGATGGCAAGACATAATTAAAACAATTTGATAAGCCATGGGTTATAGTGATATTCTGCTCTCTCTTTCCCTGTGCATGTAGATGAAAATTGTCTCATATTTTATAAACCAGTAAGTACAATAATGTAGGTAATAATCATCCCTATTCTCCTAAGCAGTTAGGAGGGTTCTACTACAGATAGCTTTTGTGAAACACCAATGTACTATTTCAGTACTTTCTTCCCAGTGCTACCATCCCCCCACTTCAAAAAAACAAAAAACAAAAAACCAAGAAACAGAAAACTAGTATTAAGTGTTTTTATTTACAAAGAATTGTATTACTTCACTGATTGAAAACCACTAACATTTTTCACTTTAGAAAACATTAAATAATAAGCAAGATGTTATACAGTACTTTGGATAACTTCTTCCATCATTTTAGTGCAATATATTATTGGCACCTACAAGTAAAATTTTCAATTATTTTCCCCTTTCATCTTCAACTGTGCAGTTATATGAACAAAAAGGAAATGAATCAAAAATGGATCTAAGACCACATTTCTGGCCCTTAATCAAAGGCTCAATGATTTATATTCCCCCTCCCCCTGCCTCTACAAGTTACATGATAAAAGAACTTCTCTTGGACCTACTGTTCAAAAACATTACCAGTTTGTGGGACTTGGGAGATTCCAATTGGTAAGAGAAAGGGAATCATAGTGAGCAGATGAAGGAAAGATCTAGAGGTGCTGTGCATGACCCTCTTCCGGGAGCTAAGTTAAGCTGCCACACACTAAGCAAAGAGAATGCACCAGGTAAAGATGTTTCCATCTGTGTTCCTTGGTAGGGTTTCTCTTAAAAAAAAAAAAAAACCGAAAAAACAACCAATGAACAAAGGAAAAGGTTAAAACCTTAACAAAGGGGGAAAAAAAACCCTGAAACATACCATATTAGGACAATACTGAGATATTAAAGTATCTATCCATCACAACCTCTTTGAAAAAATTATGTAGATTTTTAAAAAATTGGGTGTTTGTTTTAATACTGCATGGTTTGCCATAAAGGAAGAAACCTTATAATGAACTCAGCATCATTCTCCCTTTGCTCCTCCCTGTTAGGAGGTCAAGAGGGAAATTCCTAAATTAGAGCCTAGTCCACATTACTTAGTTCTGAAGATGTTCCTTATATACTAGTAATAGATTCAAATCATCTTGGGGATGCTGTAATCTGTTCCTTTACCTTGAGGTAAGCATATCTTAAATAGGTAGACTTTTATCTAGTTTTTGAAAGAGAGAGATAGGAAGAGAAAGAGATTTTCACACTTTTTGTTTTTTTTAAATGGAGGATTTTGATTTAACAACTGTCCCTGCCAGGAAACGCTCCCTCACACTCTAGTCTAAGCCCATTTCCTCTGGTTCTATTCTTAGTGCACATGGAGAACAGCTGGTCACTATCCTCTTCGTGCCAACCCTTCATATACTTGAAAACCATCAATGGTTTGCCCCTCAGTCTTCTTTTCTCCAGGCTGAATAATCCCAGTTCCTTTAATTTTTCATCATAGATCTTTTTGTCCAACCCTTTAATCATCTTTGTGATTCCTGGCAAAAACAGTAGAAAATATTTTGGTTACTTAATTAGAAACGAAGAAAAGTCTCAGGAGTAAGGTGCCCTTTTAAAGTTATGTATTTTTTAATATAAAGATAAAATATGCAGGGAGGAAATACAGTTGGGGTCCGTGGATGTTAGAATTCCAATCCTGTCTCTTCCTCTGGTGTGTGACTCCACACATGCAATACCTCAGTGCATAGGACTTGCTTCCGATCTTAACCTGACGGCATGTGCAAGCTCTACCTGTGGGGGTTTCGCATGACAGATCTGTTCCAGTGGAGCTTTTCCCCTATTCTTCTTCTTACCTTGCTTCCATCAGCAGGATCTTTCCTCTACAGAAACCAAACTTTTACACAGCTTTTTACAGATTATAAGAGAGAGCCATGTTAAGATGGTAAAGCCATCAATTTTAAATTATATCTTGAAACAGTGAGGTTTTTATATGTTCACTGCAATTTCTTGTCTCCCTAAATAGTTTACTGTTCTTGTAGAGACTAAACTCAAGGCAATTTAAAAAAATTCATCCTTCCACAAACTGAAACCTCTGCCAATTTTCTCTTGCTGCCAATGGATTGGTCATGGAACTGGATGACCTTTTGCCATGTCTTTTTAGTTCAAGAGATCACAAGCTGCCTTTTACCTTGCAACTAGAGTCTGTAAATATTAGGAACACGTATATACTTAGTATCAATAGCACATTTACACAAAACACAATACTACCAACGAGGGATTCTGTGCCCACTCTACATAATTGTCTTTAAAGTAAAAACACAGATAACAAGAATAAATGCAAATTGATGTGTTATACACCCTTCTTTCATAAAGTGAATGGCAGTGAAAGTCAGAGTTCAGGTGAGGCCAGAACTAACGTGAGTGAAGAGGATAAATCAATTTCACAAGCACACTGTACATCATATCTTAAGGAAAGTCAATACTACTCATGGTACAACACTGAACAGATAACAGAATGGCCATTTGCACAGACTTCTTTTGAAAACGTCCCCATAATTTGCTACAAGGAGCACTCTGTAATCAGGATGAAGGATGGTATAGGTCACACACACTGAAGGCCTTCCCAAACAAAACTTAGGATGGAAGGCAACACCCCAGAATGGCTTGGATGTGTCTACAGATGTCCCTGTCCTTCAAGGAGGGTGTCACTGTTCATTGGGATTGCACAAAGCAGGCCAGCAAGATGTGGGTCACAAACCAGACTTCCTCCTGACCCACTGACCCACTCTTCTCCTAGGCCTGATAAGAAGGAGAAGAGGAGAGAAGGTGAGGATTGGAAAAAGACGAGGGAGCAACCAACATAGGAGTTCATTGCTAGTTCTGGAGCTGTTAGCGTTGTTCAGAGCAGTGGCCTTTTCTCAAGCTCACATCATCCAATCCAATCTCCCCAGTGTGACCATGCCTTTTTTCACCTTTGAAGATGACCTAGGGAGAGAACGCACACACCAGTCAAGCCTCCTCTGCCCCTTTCCAATGCCCGCTCATTTAGCAAATTAAAGGCAAACCTTCCCCCAAGCTAAACATGAAACTTAAGTGACAAGAGGAAAGACCAGGACATAGTTTCCAGAGTCCTCTGAGGCTTGTTTGTTTTTTTGGCAGAAACTTAAATCATCAGTAACCTGTTCATCAAATATGTTACTCAGAACCAGTTACTCTTTAAAAGGCCGTTCTAAACTACAGACCAAGTCACTTTAGGAATGCTTGTAAAGTCGATGTGTTTGTCAAAGATTACCAAGGTTAAAAGCAAGAAGACGGAACACAAAGGTGCAGAAATTAAGAGCCAAAGATATGAAAGATAGTGATCATGCAGCCCACCTCAGGAGTTCTTAATTTCTCTGTTTGATGAAATGGTTCTATTGCCCTCAAATGAAACAGAATCAAATACCACCCAGTATGCCAGTGTTTTACCTATGGAAAAACCCCACACTTTCACTGCTCTTGGATTTAATTTTCTGTGGGCGTATCCCTGTTCCTTAAAAACAGAAGAAATCTTTCAATGCTATAATCTAAAATAATTTATTTTATTTTTTCATTTCTCCAAGTATATTAAGAAAAATTTAAAAAAAAAAAACCAAGGCAAAACAGTGCACATACCCTGGTAAGTCTGTATTAGTGGAGTCTAACTTTTCTTTTTAAAATAGTTTCTAGAAACTATGGACAAGCAGAGTTGCAGTGTCTCATAGCAAGAGTCTTATAAGCATCAACACAAAGATGACATTCTTCAGAGCGCATTCATTATTCTGATGGGTTGCTGTGGATAATTTTCTTGCTACCCATGATTTGACTATTTAAAATAAAATTTATATGTTCAATCAAAGCTTTTTCCATATTCCGTTCTAAATGGAATCATTCTTTCCAACTGTGATTTTGGATTCCCACCTGAGACTGCTGAACTATGACCTTTGAGGCAAGGGAAAAATGTTGAACTCTAAAGAACATTTTAAAATAGAAGAAAGAAACATCTTCACAGTAATTCATGGAAGTAAAAGTTGAACATTTAAGGAACTGAAGGAAAAGGTAAGGCAGCACAATTCAGCACGCCACCCAAACCCTTCAAAGTTTCTGTCAACTGTTTTTTTTTTTACTTTTCTATTCCTAATTTTTTTTTTTTGTATTAAAAATAGTGAGCCTTTACCAGGGTGGGAAAGGTGGTGGTGGTGGTCAAAGGTTGTAACGAAGAAGGATGAAGAAGCAGAAAAGGAATCTCAGAAAGAGGAATGAATGGAATCATCCAAGCCCAGAAAAAACCACAAACCTTTGTTTGAGCCTGAATTCACAGAGCAAGGCGTCTTCAAATTCAGACCCCAGAGTTCTCCTATGAAAGGAAAACTTCCCAGGCTCTGCCTCCCTTGGGATCTACTTACGCTCTTGACGTCAGCCCCTCGCAAGGTGATCTGTGTTTGCCTCCAGCCATGGCCACCATTTCTTCCCCACAGGGCTGCTCCGTGGGCACCGTGTTTTCTCACAAACACCTGGAGTGTGCCTGAGTGCAGCCCAGTCACCTTGTGCCTGAATGACAGACACAGGTCCCCTGAATGCATGAGGTGGCCGAGAGGTAGCACCAAGCGAGCGGCTTTTCCCCCTGAGGCTTTGGCTGCCGATACTGTCAGATATTGTCCACCTGGAATGGGAAAAGCAGGGCCATGTGTGTGTGTGTGCCGATATCCCTTTCCAGCACAAACAGCACGGGCAGGAGTTTCTGTTTTCATAAACTTCAGACTGTGACAGTCATTAGTAAAGAATTCCAGATTATTTTGAAGGAGCAAAATTTGACTTATTCCTATGCCTATGCTGTTTACAAAAATATAATCCCTTGCTCTGCTCATAATAGAAGTTATGCCAAAAACACACAATAATTAGAAATCCAAACACTACGACTGTTTCCCAGTGGAACATGATCATGCGTACAGAGGTAGACACAAACTTACACACATTCACCACCTTATGAGCCTTACCAATTTTATGACTGTGTTGTCCAACACCTTCTGCCAAGCTGGTTGGGTAGTGTGGTAGAATCAACCCTAAATTTCCAGGGAGAATTTTCTATGTGGCTAATTAACCTCTGGGCAGTAAAGCACATGGCCATTTATAGGGCACTGTATCTGTTTATTCTCTCCTTCTTCCACATAAAAAATAAAAAGATTTCTAAATAAGGAAAAAGATTTTAAAAGCAGTCAGAGCTGGCTTTGCTCTCACTGGTGTGCACCTAACCTAAGACACAGAGGTGTGCTGAATACCCTCCACAACTTCCTGGAGCATCAGGTAAGTGGTTTAAAACACTTTTTTATATTAGAACCAATCAATAACGTGTCTACTTTATGCATCTATTCTATTAAATATAAGTAAACACAAAATCTTAATAAAAACTTGATGAATCACTTTGGTGATGTTCTTGGATCCCTGGGTCTACAGAGTTGGCTTGCCTCTGTTAGGGAATTAAAAAATAAAATTTCTAAGCAACAATAGAGTGGGAACCACTGCTTCTCAGGAGAAAGTTACGTGCAGATTAGCATTGTGAAACTCAATCCATGTACAAATGACTTTCCCTTTAGGCAGTTTTATCTCAGCCAACTGAAAAACACACTGATTTGTCCACAGGAAAAATGTGGTTGGAATGCTGAACACATGTATCTGTTTTGGTACAAACTCCATTTGCTTTTCAGTTAAAAGATAGGCCATCTCTGCTTTCTTATGCTTAACTTATTCAAGACATGATAAGATCTTCATGTCTTCTCACTCAAGGGTCTCCTTAATAAGTCCCTCAGAGCTCTCTGAGGTCACAGAATCTTGTGTACTTAGGATGTGGCAGGCCCTGTGCTAAGTGCTCCTGGGGAGGTCCAACAACTGGATGTCAGAACCAACCTCTCCCTCAAACCTCCCCATTATACTCTGAGGTGTTTAAAGTCATTTGTTGAACAAATGAATGATGTTCCAAAACCAGAAACAAAACAAAACCCTGCAGAAGGAGGTAGTGACTTGAATCAACAAACACACACACAGTTTCTTATTTCCTCCCTTCCTACCCTCACTCCCTTCCCCCACAAATTAACCCCCAACATACTTTAGGTCAAAACATTTAGATGGATTTTAAATGTCGGCCTTTAAGCTAGCTTTTGAATGATCATAGGTATTCTAGTTAAGACAAAGATATCAGGTTATTATCAAGAACTTGCAAGTTTTATGAAAACAGGGATTATCTTAAGACCCCGTGGAATGTATACTAATATCATTTTGCGAGTTGCTGCCTGCAAACAAAACAACCTCACAAAATCAAGGCATCCTAACAAAAGATTCAAATAATCCTTCTGTCTATGCATTTAAAACTCTAAAATTTGGATAGCCATAAAAGAAATTATAATCGTTCTTCCTCCCTAGATCTGCTCTACAAGTACCAGGGTTTGTTTCCCTGCCCCCAACCCCATGGTGAGGAATTCTTTCTGTGTATAATACAGGAAAGGTTGCCAATTTGAAATAGTAACTAAGGTAATAGTTAATCCAGCATCCCCAAATAATTACCTATTAAATAACAATTTCAATTCTGATTCTAAATGTGAAATATTTTCATTCCATTTAAAGCATCACAATACCTAAAAAATCAGGGGAATGGGGAATAGTGAATTATTGATGTTGCAAAACTTGACTAGTGAGTTAGGTGTTAAAATTTTAATTTACTTATTTTGAATTCTATACTTGTTGGTTCTGATTTTTTACTTTACATAGAGAATAATATAGTATCTATTACTTTAATGTGTTAACTGTGTGGTCAAAGGAGTTTTGCAGTAATTTTATTTGTATTTTATAGCCTGGCTAAGAAACAGGCCCAAGCAGAAATAATATCATTGTGCTTTATCAGTATTTACCCATTGAATATAAATAACTTAGACTTTTACTAACCAAAGAAGTAATACATGCCCATTTTGAGAGAGGGGGAGTTATAAAGAAAATTAAAATCAATTATAATGCCAAAGTCCAGAGATAATGAATAACATTTTGATTTATGAACTTTTCTTAGGTAAATACATGCACAAAATTTAAAAAAGAATTTTTCCCCTCAAGTACTGGGGATTTAACCCAAGGATGCTCTACCATGCTACAGCCCAATCATTTTTTTATTTCTTTAAAATTTGAGACAGGGTCTCTGTAAATTGCTCACACTGGCCTCAAACTTGTAATCTTTCTGCCTTAGTCTCTTGAGTAGCTGGCATTACAGATGTACTGCACCACACTCAGTTAATCCAGCTACTCAGAAGCCTGAGGATCACAAATTCAAGACCTATCTGGACAAAACAGGGCTAGGTATATAACTCAGTAGTAAAGTGTTCCTGGGATCAATTCCCATTACTGCAGGTGGGGAGTGGGGAGGAGTACTATATTTGCAGTGCTATAACTTCCCTTTTTCATTAAATATATCACAGCTATTTTTTTATGTCAAGAAATAGCTTTTCATAGCTGTAAGCATGCAATTAATCGCTTAGCAAATTTGTTATTGAACATTTAAGTTTCCAAATTTTCACTTAGAAAGATGAAAAATACCATGAAGTACTTAGATAAGCAAAAAAATTTAAAATATTTGTAACACATGAAAAAGGGATAGCTTTCCTTTTTATATAAAAGAATTTTTAAAAATCAATAATTAAAAACAAGAAAATGAGCATTACAAAAAATTATGTGTGTATATATATATATGTAAATATATATATGTGTGTGTGTGTATGAAAATATGGTCAGCTTTCCACAAAAGAAAGATATGCAAATTAAAGTTAAAATGAAATGCCTTCATCCATAAGCATGGCTAAGATAAAGAATAGTTTCATAATATCTGTTTTGAGGATGATAAAAATAAAAAATGCTACAACCTTTTTGAAAGGTGATTTGGTAAGATTTACCAAAATTCAAAATGCAAATTCTCTTTTGACTCAGCAATTTCATATTAAGTAATTTCTACTATAGATATATTCAATATATAAGAAAATATATCTGTACAGGGTTATTCACTAGATGTGGAAATACTGAAAGGCTGGAAGCAAATCAGATGTTCCTCAGTAAAGGGCTGGTTTTTGTGCCGCCTCTGATGAGTAAGAGCTGGTATATATAAGAATGAGGTGCTCTGTAGGGACTGATACTAGGCAGCTTTCAGCAACAATGGCTAACATCATCATCGTGGTAACTCTGGGTAGGCACGGCTTGAAATGCTTTGTGTGATGTGTAGTAGACATTTTTGACTACCACCTTTAAGGAACTTGTTCAAGGTCAAAGTTAGGAGGAAGTGGTGGTGCTGGGATTCAGCCCAGGTGCTCTGGCTTCAAGTCTATGTTCTTCTAATTCACTCCTAAGGTGCTATGGTATCATTGGGTAATAAAACAAGGTACAGATGAGGGTGCTATTGTATGTGAACTGCTCTCTAAAAAGAACCAAGAAACCAGCTACATCTGGGGAAGGCAAACAGGGGCCAGGTATAGCAGAAAGCTTTCATTTTTATTATTATTTTTTCATCATATATATTTTAAATAATGATTCTAATTCTGCTACAGATATACTTATATGTATACACTTGCATACTTATATACTTAAATAAATGCCTTGCAGCTCTTGTAGTGGACAAGAGTGCCTTTAATCCTTGATCATGAAACACCAGGATTCCAAGAAAAGGAACCCAAGCCTAGCCTTAGGAACAGAAGAAGGGCATCCTCAAAGGTACAGCTACATGCCTATAGCACTATGCCATGTCTGCTGCAGACAAGTTCCTATTCCTTAGGGGGATATATTAATTTTACATCTCACAATTAAGTCCAAGAATGTGATAAACAAAACCTACTAGTACCAAGAAGTGCAGTTAGAAAACTCACTTATTTTATAGCTGATTCTCAAGGTTGTATGTATGTTCAATTGAGGGTTTTCTTAGAAATAGCAACATAAAAAATATTTACAAATATAGATCTTGGATAAGAACTACACACCATTAAAATCAATCGTAATGGGAAATCCAAATGTATATTCTTTTACAAATGGTATAATCTAGGTAGAAACAAGTAAACAATTAGTTTGGTAATTAGAACAATGCATAGAAATTATTTATTAAATTGCTCATA